CTCTCCCTGCTGACATGTGCTCAGGTGATGGGGAGATCTTCAGCCTGAAGTCGGTGGGTACTGTGGGGAGAGAGCGAGAGTACCACAGCCACACCTTGTCCAGAGAGCCCAGCCTTAGCACCAGTGCAACACTGGGCAGCCTGGGAGGACGCCTTACCATTCCCAATACAGGTAACAGCAAACCCAAACACCCCCAAATGTATGCTCATGCACTACAGGAAGGATTTGTGTGTCACACATCAGACAAGAAAAGTCACAACACCTTCTGCCTTAGGTGTCAGTCTGCTGGTCCCCCCTGGCACAATCCCTCAGGGGAAGTTCTACGAGATGTACCTCATTATCAGCAAGTGGGACAAAACCACGTGAGTACCCATCATCTTTGTTCCTCAGTTTCACTCATCTCCTTTACAACCATGAAGCAGCATAGACCTCATACTCACCTCAATCAAAACATTTCCCATGCAAGGCCCACCTACTGTGAACCATTTGAAGTTTATTATCACTTTTTTCTGGGGATAAAAATATGATCGACTCAGTATTTACACAGAAATTGGAGTGAATTAATGTCTTGCCACTTTTCTGGAAGCTTGATTCTCATTTTGCCTCAAATCCATCAATACCAGCATGTTTTAATTGCTGTTATGGCTATGATGTTCGTTCATAAATGAACTGTGATGTTTTGGCAGCTGCTGCAAATACTCTCCTTGTGTGTGTGTGATATTTACAGGTTACCCTCTGAGGGCAGTCAGACTGTACTAAGTCCTGTGGTTAGCTGTGGACCCTCCAGTATGCTGCTGAATCGTCCTGTGGTCCTTACTTTGCCCCACTGTGCCCAGCTAGACACACCTACCCCTGACTGGACCCTTACACTCAAGTCACAGACTCACCAGGGGGCATGGGAGGTCAGAGACCTAAAACTGGTATCACATAACGGATGTGTCATTAGCTGATCATCACGAAACCCTACTTCTTTTCCTTTTCAGGAGGTGCTGACAGTGGGCGATGAGACTTTGTCGTCTCCATGCTACCTGCAGTTAGAGGAGGAGTGCTGCCATATTCTCATGGAGCACCTGGGAACGTATGGCCTGGTGGGCCAGTCTTGCCCTCCACAGCCTGCCTGCAAACGCCTGCAGCTGGCTTTGTTTGCCCCCAGAGCACCTTGCCTCTCCCTGGACTACAGCCTTCGGATCTACTGCATCCATGACACCCCACATGCACTCAAGGTGCTGATTACATGTTTATCCACCTCTTTTGTTTGTGCTGCTGTATACAGTGAGGAACAGAAGTATTTGAACACCCTGCAATTTTGCAAGTTCTCCCACTTAGAAATCATGGAGGGGTCTGACATTCACATTGTAGGTGCATTCCCACTCTGAGAGACAGAATT